GAGAATAAAATGAGAGAAAATTACATATACCATGGCACTCAGTGCATGCTTATGATACAGACAACATTAAGAGGGGGGAAAAACCTTGCTCTCCCACTAAGGAATATTCTATTCTCATATTAAAATTACACCAATCACATAAACCATGGAAGCCCTGAGGGCTACTGAAGGGATGTTCTCAAACATGAAAACTTTATAGCACTTTTGTTACATGCTACTACCATGTTAAATCTTTAATAAAATTCTGTAATATAATTTTATTAACCTGTTTTAAAGTTTATTCCCAAGCTTCTTCAGCTTAATTAGCTGCAAACAATGATTTATGTATAAAGCAAAAACTTAAAAGAGCTGTAAATGTCCGGGAACATCGGCTGAAAAATATTAGAGCTCTAGATTTTATCAGATCCATAAACAAATTTGAAAAATTTAGCAGTTCCCAGAAACTTCAAGTTTGTCCTCTTATAGTTGACTCAATTCGGTTTGCTTCATTCTTGGAAGCCTCATCAGATCCTCACAAGATCTGGAACTTCATCATTATCTCTCCAGTAGCAAGCGGTGCTTTTCTACCCACTTACTGTTTGGGCAGAGCTTCAGCCAGTCTCCTTAAACCAGTGTCTACCCAAGCTGGTTTAAGATGCAAGGTAGCATTTCTGTCATCTGCTTTGTCTCAGCATGGCCTATCATGATTTGTGAACATATTTACCTCTTCAATACCAGAGATACTGCTTACCCCTGACTTCTTTAAGGGGAACTGAAATGTTTTATCATCTTCTCTAGCTGTTCTGTGAACCACCACCTTCTTTCTACCTGCAGTTCCTTTCCCACCCATGCGCACTTGTGCCTGAAGTTGGCGATTTTCTCTTGGTTCATGATAGTTTCTTTCATCTTGTTGGAGAGGAAATGGGGCCGCCTGGGGATCTAGGGCTGACATCAGGAGGTCTTGGGCAGACCAGCTGAGTGAGAATAAGCATTCACACTCGGAGACTCAGCTTGGCAGCTACATCAATGTCTGCATACAGACTTGCATACAAATACTCACATATGTTTTATTTGCTATAGCCCCCAATTAAAAACAACGCAGTGTGGATAAACAAATGTGGTATGCTCACACAATGGAATTTCTACTCAGCAATAAAATATTGGAAACTAATGATGTATTCAAGAACACACAGTAATGTTGTATATATATAAAAAAAAATTATCTGCAGTGAAAAATCCAATCAAAGGAGTATATACTGTACATTAGAGGCTGAATTGAGTTCCTCCAAAATTTGTATGTTAAAGTCCTAACCCTCAGGACCTCAGAATGTGGGTGTACTTGGTGATAGGGCCTTTAAAGAGGTAATTAAGTTAAAATGAAGCCCTGGGATTTTGAAGTAAAACCTGACAACCTTTGTTTATAACTACTTTCATATCTATATCTATATATATCTATATCTTTATATCTATATATCTATCTATATATCTGTATATATCATATCTCTCTCTATATATATCATATCTATCTATCTATAGATAAATATAGATATAGATATAGATATAAAAGCCTAATATGCAAATTGTCCCATCGGGAGTTTGGGAGACTGGGAGTTCAGTTGCTCATTATGATGTGCGCTGATCACCAGGGGGTGGTGTGGAACTAAGGAAGGCCCCGGCCAGCAGCCAGAAGCCAGCAGCCATCAGCCAGGGAAGAGAGGCTCTGGTTGACAGCCAGAAGGCCCCCTTTGGCCTTGATCGCCAGCCAGACCTAGGGACCTTTCCCATACACAAGTCTCATGCTCAGGGCCTCTAGTATGTATATATATGTGTATATGTATACTAGAGGCCAGGTGCATGAAATTTGTGCACAGGTAGGGTCCCTAGGCCTGGCTGGTGATCAGGGCAGATCTGTGGGGCAACCGGTGGGGTAATGAGGGCCCCCACTGGCACCCATTTCGATGATTTGGGGCCTGTGGGCTGGGGGCAGCTCCTGTGTTGAGCATCTGCTCCCTGGTGGTCAGTGTGCATCATAGCAACCAGTTGTTCTGCTCTTTAGTTGATTTGCATATTAGGCTTTTATCATATAGAACTAGAGGCCTGGTGCATGAAAATTCATGCACTGGAAGGGGGGTCCCTCAGCATAGCCTGCCTCTCTCAAAGTCTGGGAGCCCACAGAAGCAGGAGGCAACCCTGCGAGCAGGGGAAGGCAACGTCCCATCACACCTCTGTTGTTGCCACTGCTGGCTGAGCTGAGGGGACTAGGTGCTGCCACCTTGTGGCTGTGGGCGCTGCATCGTTGAGGGCACGGTAGTCAATTAGCATACTCCCTTTTTATTGGCTGTGGATGCCACCATCTTTGAAAGCAGGCAGTTAATTAGTGTATTCCCGCCTTATTGGCTGTGGGCACCACCATCTTTGTGACTGCATGAGGGTCAGTTAGCATAGTCCTTCTTTATTAAATAGGATATGTACATATGTGTATAAATCTTGATGTTGCAAGTATTTTAGATGTTCCCCAATTTTTCCACACCTTTTGCCTCCCTCTACCAAGACCCTATCCCATCCCAGGCCTTCACCACACTATTGTCTGTGTACCTGAGTTCTTTAGTTAAAATTTTCCTGCCTTCCCACCCCCATCCTCTAAAGATATGTCAGTCTGTTCTATGGTTCTGTGCCTCTGGACCTATTGTGTTCATCAGTTTATTATGTTCATTAGATTCTATATTTAAGTGAGATCATGTGATATTTGTCTTTCTCTGACTGGCTTATTTCACTCAGCATAATACTCTCCAGGTCCCTCCATGCTGTTTCAAAGGTAAGAGATCCTTCTTTTTTTTTTAGCTGCATAGTATTCAATTATGAAAATGTACCACAGCTTTTTTATCCACTCATCTGATGGCCACTTGGGTTGTTTCTAGATATTAGCTAATATAAATAGTACTGCTATTTATGGTGCCTATATTTTTTCTGATCAGTGTTTTGGGCTTCTTAGGATATATTCCTAGAAATGGGATTGCTGGGTCAAATGGCAGTTCTATTTTTAATTTTTAAAGTAAATTCCATACTGTTTTCCATAGTGGCTGTACCAGTCTGCATTCCCACCAGCAGTGCACCAGGGTTTCCTTTATCTCTATCTTCCATAGCACTTGTTGTTTGTTGACTTATTGACAGTAGCCATCTGGCAGTTGTGAGGTGGTACCTCAATTATCTTATCATAGCATATTTGTTAAATAAGAGGTCCCAATGACTTGGGGTCATAGGGACAGACTGCTGGTGTGATGGCTCCCGGCTGGGCGGGCAGGCCCCTCCTTTGTTGAGGTTTTCATCCTCTCTGTGAAGAGCCATGGGAGAGCCAGAGCTCCAGGTGTCACTGTAACTCCATTCCTGGGCCGGTGAAGTTTGTTAGTGAGTCAAGCTATTGCTTTTCCGTCTCATATTTGTTGTAATACTTGATGTCAGACGAGTCCCATGTTGCTTGGAGAAAATGCCCTTCATAGCATCCTTTTTCCCATAATCCCTCTGCTTTGATTAGCAATTTCCACTTTACCAGTGAAACTGAGGATGGACGTTCAGAGGGTTGGCTGCATGTCTGTGGAATTGATACGATTCTGTTATGCTAGTGTTTGTATTTGGTCAACTGCCTTTGTTCTCAGTTATTGTTGCTGAGTTTTCCACTGGCTCTGCTGTTTTGGGCTTGCAGGTTCCCCAGATTTCTGGGGCTGCTCTCCACTGGCTCCCTCGGAGGGCTCCTTCTTGGCTGTGTTCTGTTGTAGACTAGCAGGCCCCTCTTTTGACCTAATCCCACCTGTGCCTGCATACCAGAAATCTCTCAGTATCTGGATACTGGTGACATCCTTCTCTGTTTAGTAGAAAGTTATCCTATCTATTATAATAAAGAGGGTATATGCTAATTGACCATCACTCCATCACAAAGAAGGCTGCACCCACAGCTGAGGCCAAGTTGCCATAAGGAGCCTTAAGGAGCAATCGGCACAGACCAGCGGCTATGCCCTCCTTCACCCCATGGGGCTTGACGGAGGAACTCCGGCTGCATCCTCCAATGGCAGGGCTTTACAGGGGACCTCAGGCCACCCCTCCCACCCCAGTGCCAGGCCAGAACTGAGGCCACACCCCCACCCAGCGGGGCTTAACGTGGGACTTCAGGCCGTGCTCCCCACCCCAGTGCCAGGCCAGGAGAACTGAGGCCACACCCCCCACCCAGCGGGGCTTAACGTGGGACTTCAGGCCGTGCTCACCATTCAGCAGGGTTTGACGGGGGACCTCAAGGTGCATCCCCAGTGCTGGGTCAGGGGAACTCAGGCCGCACCCCCTGCCCAGCAGGGCTTGACAGGGGACCTGAGGCTGTGTCCTCCTGCCTGGTGAGGCTTGATGGGGAACCTCAGGCCATGCCCCTCACCCAGTGGGGTTTGGCAGGGTATCTCAATACATGCCCCCCACCCTAGTCTGGGCTGGGGGACCCCAGGCCACGCCCTTTGTCCTGTCACCAGACCAGGGAACCTGAGGCAGGGCTTGACAAGGGTGGGACTGGCCAGGTCTGGATCTAGCCTAATGAGGGCAAGAGCCGGCAAGTCTGGGTCTCATGTGATTTTGAGGCACATGTGGGTGGGTGGGGACTTGACTCTGGGTCCCATGGTGCACCCCAGATTCTGACAGGAGGATTTCCATATACATTTTACTAATTTTCTTTCATCTCTGAAACTTCTATTATAGAGAATGGGCAAACAGCAATATTAAATTATTTTCTCTAATTAATCCCCTTTTAATGTGCATGAATTTCATGCACTGGGCTATGGCCAGTTTAAAACAAATAACTTCCCTACTTGTATACTTCTTAGGTTTTGGGGAGGGAAGAATTTAAATTTATGGACTCAAAGATATACCTTCTTCTCTATTGGTCAAAGAGATCAATGTATTTATCTGCATTAAATGCTTTCAGGAAGTCTAGGTGTATTACATCTCCTGCTTTTCCTTATCTACCAGATGTTTCTGTTTTGTAATAGATGATTCAACACGTGTTCCTCTCGGAGAAAACAAGGACTACATTAATGCTAGTTATATTAGGATAATCAATGGTGGACAAGAGTATTTCTATATCGGTACCCAAGGGCCACTGCCAAGTACCACAGATGACTTTTGGCAAATGATTTTGGAAAATAACTCTAATGTTATTGTCATGATAACCAGAGAGATAGAAGGCGGGATTGCCAAATGCCACCATTACTGGCCCGTTTCTATGAAGAAGCCTTTGGAACTGAAACACTGTCGTATCTTCCTGGAGAACTACCAGATCCTTCCATATTTCACCATTCGATTATTTCAAGTTGTGAGGAAATCTGTAAGTTTTTTAAAAATCAGTATCAGATACATATTTCACTATATAAGCATGCATGTCAGGACAAGAAGTTAGGCGTAGGGTAGCATATAGACTGGGATACTTTTTAAATAACTTAATTTTATTTCTCTCTGGAACTAGAAACTAAAACCCCCATTTCTACTTGTGCTTAATCAAACTCTGGCTGGAGAGAGGAAGGAATGGAAGGGGGAATGGAGTGAGAGAGTATCGAAAGTTGCCTAATTCTGGGATGTACTTGGGCTGCTTCTGCCAAGGGTGACAGATGTGTACTGAGTCCTTAAGGTATGTTAGTCATGTGAAAGTATGTTAGTCATCTGAATGTACAATATATTAGTCATGTGCCAGGCACTGCTTATTGAGTGGTGGAGAGTTTGGTGTGCTCAGTGGTAATATTGAGACCCATGTGGAGGGTTTGGGAGCTTTGGAGGGATGTACTTAGCATTACTTGTGGTTTTGGGAAGGTTTGCTGGAGGTAATGGCATCTGAATTGAGAATTTCACAAATGAGAAAGATGGAAAGAGGGAGCAAATGATCAAGATATAAAACGGAACAAGGTATATATGAAGAAATGTAAGTAGTTAAATGTTTCTGGGACATAAAATTGCAGTACCAGAGTAATGAGAGATGAGATGAGGCTACAGAAAGTAAGCAGGGGAAAACCAGACTTGAAATTTCTTGGATTTTAGTGAAGGAGCCAAACTTTATTATGAAGATAATTGAGAGACATTGAAGAATTTTAGTAAGAAAGTGCATTGTCTCTAGGGAAGTTGGTATTGAGATTGAAAACAGAGACTTTGGTATTTTTTTTTTAGATAAAATTGACAGACTTATATATGACTTATGACTTATAAGTGACAGAAGGAGTGGTCAAAATTATGCTGTGTATCGATAATATGGTAGCCAGTTGCAGTGGTCATGTTACCAGAGGCCACCATATTGGGCAGCACATATATAGAACATCTGCGTCATTGTAGGAAGTTCTGTTGGGGAGTGTTGTCTGGAGTAATACACAGAATTCTTGCTTTATAGACTCGGAAAATAGAAAAATCAATGATTTATAGGAGGAAGTGATGAGTTAACCTCTCTAAGTAGATTTGATTATCAGGTACGTGATGTGTGTTACACAAGAATGAAGGGATGGGAGTTAAACAGGGAGCTTGAAAAAAGTGATGAGATTTGGAGTCATCACCAAAGAAGTTGATTTGATCGGAGCATAATGACTAGAAAAAGGGTTTTTGGAGGTGCTGAGGTTGGAAGCTATACATTTTTAATTGCAATAAAATATGCAACTATGTGATTATATTCTTCTCCACAGCCAGACTATGGGATTTCTGTCCATCAGTTATGGGACTGGCCCAGGGTGGGATATTGTCTATAATCTGTGGCAAGATTCAAATGATAAAGGGAGTTGACAGTTTGTAAGAGAATGATTCTGATAATTAGTCATGAAGTCTTAACTTAGAGAGATTAATGGAATTAGTGGCCAGTCAAATAGGAGTAAGTGGAGGACACAAGGGACAGGAGAGTGCATTTGGTTGCATTGAAGTGAAGCACAAATGGGTTGCTAGCATACAAGCTTCTGGTCAGACAGTGATGGTCGATTTTAAGAACTGGAAACTTTTTGATCCCTGACATTGCAGGTGGTGGTAGGAAGTCCAGGAAATGCTCACCACTGTGAGGACTAGGAGGAAGGAGTCTCTCCTCTTCAAGAGAGAAATAAAGGTGCTGTGAGTTAAAATGTCAGTGGTATTATGGGGACCTTGACTGTGCCCCGGATGGTGTCAGAACCTGTGGTAGAGAGAAGGTCAGGATGTGCTGTGAATGTAGATCAAGCAGGAGGTCCAGCTACTGGGTTATAACAATGAGAAGATGAAGCTAGGAGGTCTGGAAACTCAAAAGGAAAGGGGTTTTTTTGTGTGTGTTTTTTTCAAGGAGAAGGAATAGTGAATTGGAAATGGGAGTGGGCAGCAAGCCATATGTAACCTAGTATCTGTGCTCTGTGGTATGTGGGGCACAGGAGACAGGTGGCCTTCATCAGAGCACCACAGACAGTAAAGTGCCTGTGGGAGGCAAGGCAAGGCAAGAAAAGGGAAGAAACATTTAGGAAGGTAATTGTTGTTTCTAAGATATTATTGTGGGATGGTGGCCCTGAATACAAAGGAAGAAGTTGAGAGAGAGAGGAGTAGGGAGGGAGGGATGGTAAAGGAAGACTTGAGAATGAGGAGTTCTGAGCCCAGAATGAGGAGCAAGGAATAACAATGGCTGACATGGATGCAGAGCTTGCTGGCTGTGTGCTGGGTACCAAGCTTGTCCTATGTGTTTGGGCACTCTCCTCATCCCTCATTCCCCTGATACCTGTTGATTCCTTCCTATTAACCAGGTAGCATGTCAGGGGCTGGGATATAAAGCAACACAGTCTCAAGTCTTAGAGAACTTGTAGGCTGGCATGGAAGGAAGACAACAGCCACGTCCAAATGGGGAATGATGCCTGCCATCGCCGGAGAGGGCAGCATGCTTGGAAAATGTAGGCCAGACATGAGGCACAGATGCATGGTCTGTCTGCACGAACTCAAGTTCTGGAATACACTTACAGAGTCTTGGCAAAGGGGAACAGGATGTTGGCCTTTGGGCTGGGCCCCACAAGCCTCAGATCCATGTGGTTCTGTTTGGAGAATCTGCACCAGTGGCCTGTCATCACTGCACTGGGCCAGTCAGGAAAGCAACTCTCCATGGAGAGATTTAGTCCTTGAAATATGTGATAGGGTGAGAGTTACCCTAAACTTCAAGCCTTCACAGGATTTTCATGGATCATTTTCATCACTGACTTTTAGGCACTGATGATTCAAACTTGATCTATTTGGAACTCAAGAAAAATGGTGCACTAGGGCAGCAGGGGAGGAGTGATAAACCCATCCTGAAGATCCACTGGTCACCAGTGAAACAAAGGAGGGCTGGCCCTGGATGAGGACCATCCCTTTGGAAGGGATGATTAGAAAACTCAATGTGCTTTACCTGTCAGTCTTGAGGAGTTTCATGACTCCACACCCAGGAGCTCAGCACTGTGTCCTCATTGCCAGAGGACAATCAAGCAACTTGATAGCACAGACCCATTTTAATTAATTTACTGACAATTAAGCTAAGGTAGATTGCTATTCTATATTATTCATAACATGTTGGGCCATCTGAATTCCTGCTTTTTCTGTAACCTCATGGTGCAGAAGAAAGATAGTAGACTTGGATTCAGGAGGCCTATTTGATAATCTCAGCTCTGGACCTGTGAGCCTTCAGACCTAGTAGTCATGCTAATCCTTACTTCTTTTTCTCTAAAATGAGGATAAATAGCGCCACCTCTAAACACTGATGTGAGGATTAAATGCGATAATGCACAGTACCTGGAACATAACAAGTGCCCAATTCATGTTACCTATTAATATTCTTATGTTTATTATTGTAGTACCTATAGCCATTATTATTATTATCACTTGAGGTCTGGTGCACAAAATTCATGCACGGGGGAGGGGGGGAGGGGGCAGGGAAGAGCGGGGGGGGGGGGGGGGGCGGGCGGTGTGTCCCTCGGCCAATCCTGCATCCTCTCCAATCTGGGACCCCTCGAGGGATGTCCGACTGCATGAAATGAGCAGTTGGATATCCCTCTCACAATCCAGGACTTCTGGCTCCCAACTGATTTCCTGGTTAACTTCCTGATTGCCCCTAACTGCTTCTGCCTGCCAGCCTGATCACTCCTAACCACTTTCCTGATAGTCTGATTGATGCCTAACTGCTCCCCTACCAGCCTGTTTGTCCCAAACTTCCTTCCTCTGCCGGCCTGGTCACCCCTAACTGCCCTCCCCTGCAGGGTTGATCACCCCTTCCTGCTGGTCATCTTGTGGTGGCCATCTTGTGTCCACATGGGGGCAGGATCTTTGACCACATGGGGGCAGCCATCTTGTGTTTGGAGTGATGCTCAATCTGTATATTACTCTTTTATTAGATAGGATAGAGGTCTGGTGCATGGGTGGGGGCCAGTTGGTTTGCGCTGAAGGGTGTCCTGGATCAGGGTGGGGGTTCCCTTGGGGTGTGGGGTGGCCTAGGCAAGGGGCCTGTGGTGGTTTGCAGGCCGGCCATGCCCTGGTGATCCAAGCGGAGGCCCTGGTATCTGGGATTTATTTATCTTCTATAATTGAAACTTTTTAGCCTGGAGTGAAGACCTGAACTGGCCAGGGCTGCAAAGCTTGGCTTCCTCCATCTCCGGAAGCAATCATAGCCTCCAGCTCTCTGCAACTCCCTGGCTGATGCCATTTCTGTTGGAATTTATTTACCTTCTATAATTGAAACTTTGTACCCTTGGCTGGCCAGAGTATGTGAAAAGCTTGGCTTCCTCCATTGCCAGGGAAACCCAAGCCTCCCTCCTGCTCTCTGTGCCCGCAGCTATCTTGGGGTTAATTTGCATACTCACTCGGATTGGCTGGTGGACATTGCTGGTGGGCATTGCTTGTGGGTATAGCAGAATGATGGTTAATTTGCATATTACTCTTCTATTAGATAGGATTATTATTTCTGGTATATTAGAAATTAAAATGATGCCTTTAATATAAGAGGTTGATATATTTGTCTTCTCTATCTCTCCCTTCTTTCTTTCTCCCTCTTTCCTACCTCCTTTCTCTCTCAACAGACAAGAACTAAGCACTTTATAAAACAGTTGCAGTTCACCAACTGGCCAGACCACGGCACTCCTTCGCCACCAGATGGTTTCATACAGTATGTCCGCAGCGTGAGGAGCAGCCAGGTGACAGGGCCCATCGTGGTTCACTGCAGCGCGGGAGTGGGCCGAACCGGGGTGTTCATCTGTGTGGACGTGGTGTTCTGCGCCATTGAGAACAATTTCCCAGTAAGTGTAGGAATTACGCATCTAAACCCAAGTCAGTAAAACTCCACTTGCAGCAGTCTTCTAACACTGAAGACTGACTAATGTTTAGTTAGCTATGAAGAGCAACTTAGTCACTAGGAGCTACTTAGTAAAATAGACATGAGCTTTGGGTACCTGCTCCTTAACTGCTGCAGGTTCCTGGAGGTGGTGTGAGGAGTGAAGCTCATAATGAAACGAATGGCTTAGAACATAGTACATACACACTGAGTGAGAGTGCATCTTCCTTTCTCTGCCTTCCACCCCCAGGGGCCTCTTCCCAGCCTTGTTGGAGAAGGTTGGTGACATGTGCCTGTTTGGAATGAACAGACGGCATGCATGTAGCACGTTGAAAACAATGCAGACTTCAGAGTGACTGAGAGGCTCTGGGAGTGACTGCCAGTTTTGCCACACACTGTAGACTTTTGGTGCTTTTGTGCGAATTGTTCATCCTCTCTGCAACCAAGTTTGCTCATATATAAAATATGGATAATAATATTGTTGGGTTTGAGTTATTCATTAGCAAGTTTTTGCTTTCCTCTTAATTTAGACATGTAGTGATTATACTGTTTTGCCTTTATTATTGGTTACACTGATGAGGGAATGTGATTTTAGATTTGTGGCCAAGCAGGCCACTTGCTGAGCATTCTGCACTGCAGCAGTGAAGGTAGGCATGTATGCACTGAGCTGGCAGGGCTCTGACCACAGTCAAGCCCAGGAGTGTGACCCTGAGGCTCAGTCCAGATGGATGGGCTGTGGGCACGCCCGGCAAACAGTGCTGAAGTTAGGTCGTTGTTGAAGCAGGTGTCAGACTCTTCTCAGTCTCTGGGTAGTTGTACCAGTGACAGCAGATGCCGCCTGGGCCCTGGACCTCACCGACCTCAGGCTGCATGATGTGGGAGGATAGGGAAATGACCTCTCCTGGTCACTCCTGAAGGACAAGAGCAAGCAGTTTTCCTTCTTTTCAGAATCTGAGCCCAGTACCTCCTAGCATTTCACTGTTTCTGACTGAGTTCCGATTGAGACTGCCCCTTCCCTGAACTAGTCCTGTGGGAGATGCTGGTTAGTGTAGGCCAGTGAGGGCTGTGCCAGGCCTTTTGGTTGAAAATAGGAGAGGAATGATTTTCCAGAGTAAACTAGGGCTTTATCACATAGAATAAATATAAACTGGCTGGCCAAAAAAAGATAAATGTTCTAAAAAATGCTAAGTGAGTCTGATGTTACCTTTTGTCCTGTTAGCAGAAAATGCGTTAGTATAATTTTTCTTTTATATATTTTCATCATAATTTCTTAAGTAGTTTGTTTATATTTATCTTTATTTTATATCCCTTATATAAACTGTAAAACTGTAAATATTCTATTTCATAACCCTTAGAAGCACTCTTTTTCCCACATTGTACCTTCTTTAAATCCTAAATGTGTTTTATAATGTCATCTGTCTGCTTAATTGACAGTGTACATAAAATGATGGATTTTACAATCAAGAATGCCTTGGACTTGATGACATATAATGGTTCAAAAATAAGAAATACACCATTGTTTCCTTATTGGTTTTCCATAAAGCCTTGAGCTGACAAATATTCGTACTGATGCCCCTCTCTGCTCTTCAGAAATGCTTTTCACCAGAGCTCTGTGAGATGTGGCCTTGGCCAGCAGCAGTCTGTGCATGTTTGATATGTGCAGAAATTGCTTTATAGGAATTGAGAGGAAGCTTTTAGAAACACTCAGGGCAGTTTGGTGCATTGCTATATGGTCTAGGAGCATGAGCAGTGTGCTGGCTGTGTGAGCAGGTGCAGACCATGCGTGTGCTGTGAATTCGCATGGGGAGGCTTACATGTTGCAAGCTGCATACAGCCACATGTGGCTGGACAAGTTTGACCTCTGACATTTAGGATTAACTTAATGCTAAAGGATATGAACATCTTAAGAATATGTAACTATCTATTTATTTTCATTAATTGTTATTTTTAGACTATTTCCATTGTTAATCAAGCCTTCTTAAAATCCCTGAAACTCTGGAGACACTGAGGTTGTTCTGAGTTCAGACATTCTGCACACAGCTTTCCTTCACACCACCTGCAGCAATAGCAGCCACTCATGGGCAGTCACCAGCTGTCAATCATGTAGGGAAGTGAGTAGTCCAAATTCTCACTGCACCACTAAGCACACAGTTGAGTTAATCCAGCCCGTGTTTTTTTTTTTGTTGTTGTTGTTTTATTTTTGTTATTGTTTCTTAACCAACACTGTCTTAATGAAGCCGTGTGTTGATTTGCCTTCTGGCATAAATTAATCTGTGTCACTACCTTCGACTGTTTTCTGGTCATTGCAACTCTACTATCAAAACATAATCCTTCACGAAAGTTACACTCTGAGCAACATTTGTTGATGATGTTGTACTTTGCATTTTTATACAGTGGAGAGCTAGTTGTGTTGGTCAGTAATCACACTGAGAAAAGAAAGACTTCCTTAGTTCTCATTATGTTTAAATACCACATATACTGAAAGCATCACTGTAAGCATTATCTATGTGTTTATTAGTTACAATGGTAAATGATTTGCTACTTCTGTCTCATAAATTAGTTCCACTGCACAGCATTAACTAATCCATGAACTTGTTAAGCTATGGAGTCATTAGAAAGTGGTCCTTTAACTTTTTTGTCACATATAATGGTAGGCAAAAATAGGTTAATACCAATAAATAATAATACAATGATTACTAAATGATAGCACTAGTGTGGTTTTAGCAATTCACAATACATAATGGCTATAAAACTCCTTAAAGTAAGTAAGGAATTATAATTCCAGGTAAAATTACCATGAGCTTTTGTGGCCTTTGTTTCTCTACTTCATTTCCATGATCGTCACGTGGTCACTCACCACAGCTCCATTCAGAAAGCTGTGCTTTTCCTGATAGCCCAGTCCAGAAGCTTCTTCTGCCATCAGTAAGTTTAGGTTAAATACAAATTTATTTCCATAGTTTTTCTACCCATAAATTATAAATTTAACGCCCCCCCCCCCCCACAGGATTTCATGCTGTTGGTGCCAAGTGTAAGTACTCATCAGCCTAGGTCCCAAAGAGTTAGTTCTCAGCTGTATTCTGAAAGTTCTATAGTTTTATCTTTTACATTTTAGTCCATAATCTATTTTGGATTAATTTTTTTGTATAAGGTGGAATTTTAGATCAAGGTTGATTTTCTCCTTCCCTCCCCCTCCCTTTCTCCTCCCTTTCCCCTCCCCCTCCCTTTCCCTTCCCCCTCCCCTTCTCCTCCCCCTCTCCTTCCCCTTCCCCCTTCCCTCCCCTCCCCCTTCCCTCCCCTCCCCCTCCCCATCCCTCCTCTCCCTCTACCCCCCTTCCCCTCTCTCCCCTCCCCTCCCCTCCCCTTCCCTTCCCTTCTCTTCTTTTCTTTTCCCCTACAGATGTTCAATTATTCCAGCACTAGAGGCCTGGTGCACAAAATTTGTGCATGGGTGGGGTCTCTAGGCCTGGCCGGCAATCAGGGCTGATTGGGGCCAGGCTGATCAAGGCCTGCCAGCTGGGGGAAGGGTTGGGGGAGGGACTGTGGGAGGTTGGCCAGCTGTCCAGGAGGAGGGACCGCAGGAAGTTGGTGGCCACAGGAAGGGACTGGGGGAGGTTGGCCAGCTGCAGGAGGTTGGCTGTGGGAGCCCACTGACCACCAGGGGCAAGTTCCTGTATCATTGTCTGCCCCCTGATAGTCAATACGCATCATAGCAACCGGTTAACTGGTCATTCTGGTAGTTCCAGTTGTTCGGTCTTAATGGCCGCTTAGGCTTTTATAGATAGATAGATAGTTTTTGTTTTGTTTTTTGTAGAAAAGGCCATTCTTCCATTATTGAATTGCTTTTGCATCTTTGTCATAAATCATTGGGCATGTTTATATGAGCCTATTTTTGGTTCTGTATTCTGTTCCTTTGATTCATGTGTCTATCCTTTTACCAATGCCACACTTTGGATTATTGTAGTTATATTGTAGGCCCTAACACCAGGTAGAGTTATTTCTCTCACATTCTTTTTTTTTTTTTTTTTTTGAAATTGTTTTAACAATTATAGGATCTGTGCCTTCCCATATAAATTTTACAAGTTTTCAATGTCTACAGAAAATCTTGCAGGGATTTTTATAGGAATTGCTTTAAATCTAGATTAGTTTGGGGAGAATTGACATCTTTACTATGTTGAATATTTTAATCTATGAACATCGTATATCACTCAATCTATTTAGGTCTTCTTTGATTTCTGTCATTGGCATTTTGGCATTTTCAGCATACAAACCCTGTACATGCTTTGTTAATCTTATTTTATTTTATTTTATTTATTTTATTTTATTTTATTTTATTTTATTTATTTTATTTTATTTTATTTTATTTTATTTTTTTATTTGGAGTGATTATAAATAGTACTAGAGTATCATACTAGAGGCCCAGTGCACAAATTCATGCACTAGTGGAGTCCCTCGGCTTGGCCTGTGGGATTGGACCAGAACTGGATCTCTGACATCCCCCAAGGGGTTCCAGACTGCAAGAGGGTGCAGGCCAGGCTGAGGGACCCCCCACGGGTGCATGATCGGGGCTAAGAAGGTTGGTCAGCCTAGGAGGGCTCCAGGACATGTCTGTCCCATTCTTGTTCAGTCCTGATTGTTGGGAACTCTGCAGCAAGCTAACCTACCAGTTGGAGCATCTGCGCCCTTGTGGTCAGTGCACATCATAGCAACTGATTGACCGATCGACTGTCCCCTGGTGGTCAGTGCATATCATAGCTAGAAGTTGAGCAGCCTTAGCATATCATTAGCATATTATGCTTTGATTGCTGAACAGATTAGTGGATAGACACTTAGGGTACTAGGCTTTTATTATATAGGATTATGTTTTTACTATCAGTTTCCATGTGTTTATTGTTACTATGATGTAGAAGTGCAACTGATTTTTGTGTGTAGAGCTTATATCCTGTGATCTTGTTGAACTCAGTTCTAAGAGGCTTTTATTTATTTTTTTTTTTGGTTCTGTTTTGTCCTTAGATTTCTTGGTATTTTCTACATAGACAGTCATTCTATTCAAAAATAGGGACAGATTAATCTCTTTCTTTCCAATCCATATACCTCTTATTTCTTTTTCTGGCCTTATTGCACTACCTAGAACTTCCAGTGCTTGTTGAATGTAGGTGGTGAGAGAAGACATCTTGCCATCTCTGATATTGGGGGAAAGGCAAATTAAAATTATTCGTTCTTTGAAAGACCCTATGAAGATGATGAAAAGAAAAGATGCAGACATGAAAAAACTATAAGTCACATATCCACCAAAGGTGTTACATCAAGAGTACATAAAGAACCCTCAAAACTCAATTTAAAAAAAAAAAAAAAAAAAAATATATATATATATATATATATATATATATATATAAATATATATATATATATCAATCTAGTTATAAAGTGGGTAAAAGACATGAACAGAAATTTCACTGAAGAAGATATAAGGATGACAAGCACATGAAAATGTGCCTAGCTTCATTAGCCTTTAGGAAAATTAAATTAAAACCATGCTAAAATATCACTGGATATCTATCAGAAAGACTAATATAAAAATAATGATATAAAATATCTTCACCAAATAAATGTTGGTGAAGATTTGAAGAAACTGGATTGACCATATCTTAGTTATGGGAATGTAAAATGGTATATCCATTCTGCCCAGCTGGTGTGGTTCAGTGCTTGAGCATTGATCTATGAACCCAGAGGTCACAGTTTGATTCCCAGTCAGAGCACATGCCTGGGTTGTAGGCTCAGTCCCCAATAGGGGACATATAGGAAGCAGCCAATTAATGATTCTCTCTCATCATTGATGTTTTTACCTCTCTCTCCCTCTCCCTCCCTTCCTCTCTGAAATATATATATACACACTAGAGGCCTAGTGCACAGAATTCATGCATGGGTAAGGGAGGGTGTTCCTCAGCCCAGCCTGCACCCTCGCCAATCTGGGACCCCTCAAAGGATATAGGATCAGGCCTAAATGGGCAGTCAGGCATTCCTCTCACAATCCAGGATTGCTGGCTCCCAACTGCCCACCTGCCTGCCTTCCTGATTTCCCCTAACCACTTCTGCTTGCCAGCCTGATAACCTTCTAATCATTCCCCTTCCAGCCTGATTATTGCCTAACTGCTCCCCTGCCAGCCTGTTTGCCCCTAACTTCCCTCCTCTGAAGGCCTGGGTCCCCTACAACAGCCCTTCCCTGAAGGCCTGGTCATACCCAACTTCCCTCCTCTGCTGGCCTGGTCACACCTAACTGCCCTCCCCTGCAGCCTTGATTGCCCCCAACTGCACTCTCTTGCAGGCCTGGTCCCTACCAACTGCCTCCCCTGCTAGAGTGATCACCCACAACTGCCCTCCCTTGCAGGCCTGGTCCCTCCAACTGCCCTCCAATGCTGGCCATCTTGTGGTGGCCATCTTTGACCACATGGGAGCAGCCATCTTGAGTATTGGAGTGATGGTCAATCTGCATATCACTTTTTTATTAGAAAGGATAGAGGCCTGGTGCATGGGTGAAGGCCAGCTGGTTTGCCCTGAAGGGTGTCCCGGATCAGGGTCCAGGTTCCCTTGGGGTGTGGGGCAACCTGGGCAAGGGGCCTGTGTCAGTTTGCAGGCCAGCCATGCACCCTGGTGACCAAAGTGTAGGCCCTGGTATCTGGGATTTATTTGTCTTCTATAATTGAAACTTTGTAGCCTCGAGTGCAGGCCAAGGCCGCAGAAGCTTGGCTTCCCCCATCACCGAGGGCAACTCAAACCTCCTGCTCTCTCCAGCTCCATGGCTGTCACTATTTTAAAAAAATATATATATATTTTATTAATTTTTTCAGAGAGGAAGGGAGAGGGACAGAGAGTCAGAAACATCAGTGAAAGAGAAACATCGACCAGCTTCCTCCTGCACACCCACCACCAGGGATGTGCCCGCAACCAAAGTACATGCCCTTGACCAGACTCAAACATGGGACCCTTCAGTCTACAGGCAGATGCTCTATCCACTAAGCCAAACTGGTTCTGGCTTGTCACCATTTTTGAGGTGATTTATTTATCTTTTATAATTGAAACTTTGTACCCTTAAGTTGAGGTCTGGGCCAGCCAGGGTATGTGGAAAGCTTGGCTTCCTCCTTTGCCTGGGAAACCCAAGCCTCCTGCTTGTTCCGTGGCCACAGCCATCTTGGTTGGGTTAATTTGCATACTTGCTTCAGATTGGCTGGTGAGAGTGGCTTGTGGTGTAGTGGAGTGATGGTTAACTTGCATATTACTCTTTTATTAGATAGGATATGAAAAACAGTATACCAATTATGGAAAATAATGCTACAGTTTCTTTAAAAATCAAAACTAAACTTAACTGCATATCCCCAACAATAGCACTCTTGGGTATTTATCCCAGAGAAATAAAAACTAATGTTTACTCAGAAACCTGTACACAAATGTTCACTGCAGATCTATTCATAACAGCTCCAAACTGGAATCAATCTGGATGTCCTTCACTAAATTGATGGTTAAAAACCTGGTACATTTCCAGACCATAGCATACTATCCTATCTAATAAAAGAGTTATATGCAAATTTACTGTCACTCCAATATACAAGATGGCTGCCCCTGTGGTCAAAGATGGCTGCCCTCATGTTGACACAAGATGGCCACCACAATATGGCTGGCATGGAAGGGCAGTTGGGAGAGACAAGGCCTGCAGATGAGGGCAGTTCGGGGTGACCACGCCTACAGGGGAGGACAGTTGGGGGCGACCCAGGCCTGCCGGAGAGGGCAGTTGGGAGGGACAAGGCCTTCATGGGAGGGAGTTAGGGGTGACCAGGCCAGCAGGGGAAGGAAGTTAGGGGTGACCAGGCTAGCAAGGGAGGTAAGTTAGGGGTGACTGGGCCAGCAGGGAAGGACAGTTGGGGGTGACCAGGCCTGCAAGGGAGGACAGTTAGGGGCAAACAGGTCTGAAGGGGGGTGGGATTTTAGGGGCGACCAGTCCAGCAGGGGAGGGCAGTTAGGGAGGGCAGTTAGGGATGGCCGGGCCATCAGGGGAGGGCAGTTGGGGGCAACCAGGCCTGGGACAATAGGGGCAATTAGGCTGACAGAGGAGCAGTTAGGCATCTATCAGGCTGGCAGGGGAGTAATTAGGGGGTGATCAGGCTGGCAGGCAGAAGCAGTTAGGGGCAATCAGGCAGGTGGGCTGGCAAGCAGGCAGGTAAATGGTTGAGAGCCAGCAGTCCTAGATTGTGAAAGGGGTGTCCAACTGCCCATTTAGGCCTGATCCTATTGGCATTTGGACATCCCTCGAGGTGTTCCTAGATTGGAGAGGGTGCAGGCTCAGCTGAGGGACATCCCTTCTCTCCCCCAGCCCCCCCTGCACCCCTCCATGCATGAATTTTGTGCACCAGGCCTCTAATTTAGCAATAAGAAGGAAAGATCTATTAATATGCAAAACAATTTTTATGGGTCTCAAGGCAATTATGCTACATGAAAACAGGTCCTTTTCAAAGGGTTAGCTATTTCATTATTCCATTCATATAATCCTTTTGAAAGAACAAACTATAGAGATGGAGATCAGATTCCCTGGTTTACAAGGGTTAGGGGTTGTGGTATAGGGATAGCATTAGGAAATCTGGTGGTAACAGTCAGGAATCTCGATTGTGTTTACAGTTACATGAATTTTCAAATGTGATAATGTTGCACAGAACCAAAGATACACAAACACACACAATCACAAATAATCACATATAAAACTGGCAAAATCTGAATAAGCTTTGTGGGTTGTACCAATGTCAATTTTCTGCTTTTGATGTTATATTGCCGCTATCTTGCATGGTTTAACTTAGGGAAACTGGGTGAAGAATATACAGGATTTCTCGATACATTTTTTTGCTTCCTACTTTGCATATATAATTATTTCAATATGAAAAATTTAAGGCTAAATTAGATTTTAAATTATTATAAAAACGACAAGTTATAAAAGTAAAGGGATGCTTATATTCTCTGATTTTTACATTTTTTTGTTATGGTTGACAAATCTTGGAATTTTCAGGTGTCAGCATGGTCTTGCTGCACATGACTGGTCCTCAGCTTGTACCAAATGTGACTCTAGGAAAATTCACCCATGCCCTAGCTGGCCTGTGTACTGTTCCACTGATGATACCTCTGCCTGTGCCAGCGGCAGACTGCCATAAGTTTCTAAAACTTACTGCTCACTTCTGGACTCATTGCATTGTGGCCCAGCAACAGCCCTTTGCAGGTCTGCCCCAGGCAGCGACCACCCTCGGCAGAGCAGGTCTCCATGCACACGTGTAGAATCTGGTGTTGGGCCAGCTGTTGCTCAGGGTCTCCATTTGAGTTGAGAGGACTCTTTATAAGAAACAGCTGTGCTACTATTGTGGCCAGAACAAGTCTTGTATGCATCAGACTTTTCCAGAGTTATCATGCCGAGAGTTAAGATCTCTCTTTGGAGAACAGAAAAGTATACACAGGGGAAAATTTGTTATTATTTCTCTACAAGAGCATTTCTTGTTATTTGATTGCTTCCTTCCTTTCCTTGGAAACCCACTATACAAGTCTTGCTTATTCATTAGACTAGGTTAAAATAGTGCATTTTCTTATGACTGAAAATGAGACCTTTCTGGTAAATCTTGACATCTTTTTCACTGGAAAGCAGTATAGAGTACTCATTTGGCAATCTGTAGGTTTATGTTCCCCCTATATGGATAATATAGAATTACTGTCATCCTGTTGCAGTTCAACATTAGAGATATCGTGGTCCAAATGAGAAGACAACGTCATGGTATGGTTCAAACAAAGGTAAGCTCTCATGGCATAAATTCTAATTTGAAGAATAATGAATATAAAGATTCACTGTATAGCATATTACAATTTATAAAGCTCTTTCACCCACATCTCACTGAGTTCTCACTTTTGAGGTAGACATTACTGATGCAGAACTTCAAGTTCAGAGCAATGCAGCCTTTTCCATGAGGTCACGTCATTCTGGTAGCTACCGTAGCAAGTGAAAGAGTTAAGACCGAGTTTCCCGGTGCCCACACACAAGCTTTGTTAGAGTAACATGTCTCAGTGTATTTTCATAAATTTATGGATAGCAATTCTGGGATATTAACTTGTCACTAAAATATTAACGTCATTAGCATGTCATAAAACTATCATTTCAGTCACAGTTCATTATTAGTCATTTTGGGGGGTTAAGACCCTGAATCTTCAAGCTGACCTGTTTTTTGGCCAATGTTAAGTAATATGGAGCATTTTATTTAAACTATTGTCTGAGAGACCTGAGGCAATATCTAAAAAAAGTTTAAAATGTGATTCAGAATGAGTTTGAGAGTCATTTTCCTCTCTATTCAGTTAAGTCTTTAGTTCTAGACCAAGAACTATAATATATTGTGATCATTTATGTTTCTGGTATTTAAAAAATATTTTTATTTAAAGAAGTTCTTAGTTAAATGTGTGCTCTTTAGGAATATTCTCTGTGGCTGAAATTTACAAATGTGTACTCTGAAAGTGGATATTGGTATTCAGTTACTTTACTGTCTATTGTTTTTCATATATTTATTTACAGGAGCAGTATTGGTTTTGTTATAAAATTGTGCTTGAAGTTCTTAAGAAGCTTGTGGCTTTGGATTTAGAGAGACAGCCTCACACTTGACATACCAGGTGGCATGGAGCTTCCTCAGAAAGAGCATGACAGGTTGTGCTGAAGGAAGGGCTCTGCTGCGCGCAAAATGTGCTTTCTTGGTGTATCATTTGATTTCCTTTCTGACAACTCCCTGAAGGCAGCATCATTTGGTTTGGGGTGAATAGTGTTTACCCACTGATTTTATTTAGATAATATCAAAATACCCTCCCACATTTTCCAATGAAATAAAAGTTTCTTAAAACAACTGCAGCCTATTTGGTTGAAAGGATTACAAAGCCCCATAAAAGACTTAAACTATATTTATTAAAATTATATCTGGAAAGACAGCTAAAGGAAGCTGAGGATTTCCCAGACCTTAGGAAGCCTTGATTCTGGGAGGACCTAGAACCAGTAAACTGACTTCTTACAGGCATTTTCAAGACAGATACTTATCCATGGTTTTTAGCTAGAATCTATACTATTAGCTGGCATTTGAACAACTCGGCTCACTAAATATTCCTATTAGGATGGTTTAACGTGTTATTTTGGATTCCATTTTTTCTTACCTCCAAGTCCCATGGAGCCCCAGGGAGCTCAGAGGAGCAGCTGCCTTTCTAGAACCACTGGACAAAGACCTGATGGTTTGGGAGCTTTTTGTGGGTGGGCAGGCTTCCTCCCTCCATCACATGAGCACACTGAGGAACAGTCCAAAACTAAAATAGTTATTTATAGAGAAGGTCCAAGAGGAAACTTTTGCCTGGCTTGAGTTCTTTCCTATCCCACCCTAACACTTAACATATTACTCAGTCTGCTTTGTTGAAAGCAAATATTACATTCTACTTGCTTCTTAGTTTTTGCCCTTTAGCTAACCAATAAACTTTGATATAAGCGTTATTATATAATTTTGAATCACTTATGCCAGATATAGTTTTCAAACTAAGATCTAGAGTAACTTTTTTCTTCAGAGTTCAATTAAACCATTTCATTTTACTACACACCTCCCTCCCCACCCCAATTCTGCTGTAACATTTAGAAACTAGCGTTGGGAACCAAATTTTGGAAAACTAAATTCATAGTTTTAAAAATGAAAATTTCCATATTCTGTTTTTGAAAAGATTGTGGCCATTATTACATTCATCTTATTATAGGACTTTGCCTCATACAATTACAGTGATAATTTTATCAAAGAATTTTAGTGACCAGTTAGATTTTATTATAAGCTATAAAGCACTTGATATACATCTTTGTAAAGTGTAATTCAGTAAAAATCAGAATATTCTATGTATTATATTAAGAAAATTTCTAATATTAAGCTGTAGATCTTGAATTTTTAAGAGGTTTATATTGTTCACCTGGCTGAATGAATACTTGAATTGGATAAATTAAAATGCTAATTCTCATTTTAAAAATAATTATATACCAGAAATCTATTTTATATTAATATAATAATGTAATGAGTCAATCTCTTTACATTATTCATATAAATAGTAGTCTATGCTAAACACTAATTTTGATGATTGGCCTTTAATATTTGTATTCCTAATGTTTCCCTCTGTTTTTGTAAAATAATAGACATAATGTACAACAGTATTCCTGAATATTTCATGCTGTTATTTAAATGGAAATATTTACTATGTATTGTCTCTTGTGTTTTTATTACTTTGGCCTTAAAATATTCTTGTAAATAAAAATTTCTCACTTTTTTGAGAGTAAACATGTTTTTTCTTTAATGTATGTCTTATATTTTTATAGCTGGACTAATTTTTCACTTGTCAGGGAAATTAAATAAGTAAATATGAGAATACTGATTGTATTTGTTTTGATTTTATTTTGGGGAAGTAAATTTCCAATTGAAAACTTTTTACTAATTAAAACACTAAATTTCATACCAACAATAAATTAGTTTTTGCCTAGGATATGGATATGAAACTCCCATTATACATCTTTGTGAGTATATGAATGCTTATTTAGGGAAAAAAAAATATATTTAAATATAATCATATATGCATTTATTACCTTTCAACCTTAAATACATATTTTTAAAAGTTTTATGTGCTTGATGGACCAGATTGGACCAAATCTTCTCAGACATAAACATTGTAGGCTTTATTTTCATATAAGTCCTAGTAACGTATTTTTCTTTTTCCCCACCATTATTCATTCTTTTCTCTCTCTTTCTTTCCATTCTTTCTTCCTTTCTTCCTCTCCACCTTCCTTCCTTCTAAAAATTTTTTTATTGTTGAGAGTATTGCAGATGTCTCTGCTTCTCCCCCCATTGCCTCCCTCCACCAGAACCCTCCCCACTTCAGGCCTTCACTACTCTATTGTCTATTTCCCTGGGTTATGCACATAAGTTATTAGTTTCTTTCCACCCTCCTTTTCCATTCCTCTCTGAGATTCTTCAGTCTGTTCCATGTTTTCATACCTCTGGTTCTATTTTATTCATCAGTTTATTTTTTCAGTAAAATCCTTGTTCATTAATTTTGATTTTTAGACTTAACTGTTGATAGATATGTACTTATTGCCATTTTATTGTTCATATTATTTATCTTTTCCTTTTCTTAAAGAATATCCTTTAATATTTCTTGTAATACTGGTTTGCTGGTGATAAACTCCTTAGCTTTTTTTTTTTTTGTCTGGGAAAATCTTTATCTGAACTTCAATTCTAAATGACAGCTTTGCTGGGTAGAGTAATCTTTATTGTAGATTCTTGCTTTTCATCACTTTGAATATTTCTTGCCACTCTTTTCTGGCCTGCAAAGTTTCTTTTGAGAAATTAGCTGACAGTTGTATGGGTACTTCCTTGTAGGTAACTAACTGCTTTTTTCTTACTGCTTTTTTAAAATTTTCTCTTGGTCTTTAACCCTTAGCATTTAAATTATAATGTATCTTGAAGTGAGCATCTTCTGGGCCATCTTGTTTGGGACTCTCTGTGCTTCCTGGACTTGTATGTCTAAAACTTAGGGGAAGTGTTCTGTCATTTTTTTCAAATAGGTTTTCAATTTCTTGTCCCTGCTCACAACCCCGAAGGAAATAGGTACCTCAGTGTCACAAATGCAAAGCCCAAGATTCTGTCAAGCATTGAAGGAGCCCTGGATGACCATGCAGCGGGCTGGCCACAATTTTAGCCTGGTGAGACCCCAGACAGAGGGTCCAGCCAGGAAACTGTGAGATGAGATATTTCTATTGTTGTAATCCATTAATCTTGTGGCATTTTGATATCCTGCACTTAAATATAAAAGACCAATTACCAACTATCAAAAACACTTAAACACTTAAACTTTTTTTCTTGGATTATAACATTCTTCCTTATTTTTAAATGATTATATCTACCTTGTTAGGTAATATAATCATTTGCATATTACAATGTATCCCTTTTGACTCTTTTATATGCATATATTTATAAGAAAACATTATATAAAACTATATATATATATATATATATATATATATATATATGCATTATGTTAATGATTCTCTAAGCATTGATATCTCAAACATTTTTTTCTAGTAGGTTCCCTTGAAAGACCTCTTAGAAATAGTTTTCTCTGAGCTCTTGCATGTTGACATCCATCTGCACCCTCTGTACATCTACGTTTTACTAGATATTAAATACTGGAATCACATTTTCTTTCCTTGAAAATCTTGACTATATTAATCCTTTTTTCTAACATAAAATGTTATTGTAAAAAAGTACAATAACCTGATTTTATTTTATTCATACTCTTTGTATAGGTACCAAAGGATATTTTTCTTTTCAAACTTCACTAATTTTACTAAAAAATTTCTTGGTATTGCCTTTACCAGAAGCTCAGTTGGTTGGAATACCAGCTTCAGGAATTTTGAGAAAGAAGAGCAAAGTTTGCCCTGACTGGTGTGGCTCAGTGGATATATTGTCGGCCTGTGGACTCAAAGGTCCCAGGTTTGATTCTGGTCAAGGGCATGTGCCTTGGTTGTGGGCACATACCCAGTAGGGAGAGTGCAGGAGGCAGCTGACCAATGTTTTTCTCCTATTGATGTTTCTAACTCTCCCTCTCCCTTCCTTTCTGTAAAAAATCAATAAAATATATATTTTTTTTAAAAGAAGAGCAAAGTTGTAGATATCATGCTACCTGATATCAGACAATATTATAAGGCTATTGTAATCAAAACAGTATTAGCATAAGAGCAGGCATATAGAACAATAGAACAGAACAGTGACCCCAAAAATCACCCACATCATTTTGGTCAATTAATATTTGACAAAGGAGCCAAGACGTATGGAGTAAAGACAGTCTCTTCAATAAATGATATTGGGGGAATTAGACCAGTAAATGCAAAAAAAAACAAACAAAAAAAACTAGATCACCAACTTACATCATACATAAGAATAAATTCAAAATGGATAAAAGACTTAAATGTTAAATCACAAAACCATAAAAATCTTAGAAGAAAATAGGCAGTAAAATATCAGACATCTCTCATAGCAATATTTTTGCCATCGTGTCTCCTAGGCCAAGGAAACAAAGAAAAATAAATAAATGGGACTCTATCAAATCAAAAAGCTCAGCACAGCAAAAGAAACCATCAACAAAATTAATTCACCATGCAGGAGAACATATTTGCCAATGATACATCTAAAAAGGGGCTAATTTTTAAGATATACAGAGAACTTATACAACCCAACACAAGGTAGACAACACAATAAAGATAGGCAAAGGACCTAAATAGATGATTCTCCAAAGTGGACATTTGGCTGGCCAATAGACACATGAAAAAAATGCTCATGTCACCAATCAATCAGAGAGATGCAAATTAAAACTTCAATTAGGTATGCCCTCATACCTGCCAGAATGCTACTACCAATAAACCAACAAGTGTTGATGATATGTGGAGAAAGTGTAACCTTTGTATGCTTTTTTTTTTTTGAAATGCTTACTTTTGCAGCCACTGTGGAAAACAGTAAGGAAATGCCTTAAAAACTAAAAATGGAACTTCCTTTTGACACAGTGATTACTTCTGGGAATATATCCTAAGAATCCCCAAATACCAATCAGAGAGAAGATATGCACCCCTATGTTCATTGCAGCATTATTTACAAGAGCCAAGATACAGAAACAGCCCAAATAGCCATCAATAGACACAGTGGAATATTATGCAGCAGTAAAAAAAAGAAGTATCTTTTACTCTTTGAGACAGTATGGATGGGAGAGTATTATACTAAGTGAAATCAGCCAGTTAAGAGAAAGACAAGTACCATATGATCTCACTTTTATGTAGAATCTAATGAATACAATAAACTGATGAACAAAACAGATCCAGAGGCATGCATACAGTTAACAAACTAACAGTTGTTAGAGGGGAGGTGGGCTTGGAGACTGGATGAAATAAGGTGAAGGGATTAGACAAGAAACTATGTACATAACATAGACACAGATAAAGAGTGCTGGAAAGAAGGAAGAGGGTGGCAGGGGCTGGATGGAGATAGAGAATTGAGGGGAGAAAATGGGAACATCTGTAATAGTGTCTACAATAAAAATAAAGTTAAAAAATTTTAAATTAAAATATTAAAAAATAAAATATACATATTGATTTAAAATACATTATAAACTGGCATATTGGTCAGGAGGGATGCAAATGTGCTTAAAATGTTCTAAGATCACTGAATTATTTAAGAAAAGGGTAAATTTATCAATAATAGGTTTTAATAACTTTAAAATGCTTCTTATAATTTCTATTATAGCTGCTAAAAGAATAGTAAAAGAGTATATACTTTTCACTAAGAGAACTTAACATGGTCAGGACAAGAAAGAAAGAGAAACATAAGGAAGAGTACAAAGTAAAAGCATATAAAGAAGATTAAAGCCCCAAAATATCAGTAATTACAATACATTGTAAGTGGATCAGGTGCTCAAGGTAAATTAAGAATATCAATAAATCTAAAATAATACAAGAAGACTGAATATGAAAGAGTCTAAAGACGGATTCCAATGCTAGCCTAAAGAAAGATGGTGTGGTGCATTACTTTTAGACAAAATGGAATTCAGGCTAAAAGCATCATAAGAGAAGTTCCCTGGAAATATATGGCCATTCTGAATTTGTGTCCACCCAATAAGATGTTAAAAAATATAAGGCGTATATACAAAATAAATGAAGCATATAAATAAACTTGAAAAATGTAAAGAAACAAGCACAAAGTAATAGTTGGGGATTTTAACCAATCTCTTTTAGTTATTAACAGAAAGCTCTGACAAAAATCTAGTGAGACACAGGGGGAGACAGCCATCCACAAGCCAAGGAGAGAGGCCTTAGTAGAAACCAACACTGCTGACACCTTGATTTTGGCCTCCAGATATTTGAGAAAACAAGGGTTTGTTGTTTAAGCCAAAGAAAGTAAAATAAAATATAAAATAAATAAAATAATGAGACTACAGGAGAACATCATGTGCCAATTGACCAAAGAGCACATACAGAACACTGCACACACTGCAGAGGGACACTGCAGAATGTTCCTTTCCAGCTCTCCTGACACACACAGAAATGCTCACACAATCTGGATGCCCCCACACACCAAAATGCTCATACTGGGGGCCATAACGCAAATTTAAAATTATGTAAAAAATCTATAGTAATAAAAGTATAATATGCTAATTACTGGTAGACCAGATGTCCTTCCGGATGAAGTCGGGGCTGCGAGGGAAGGACATCCGGGTGCCAGAGGGAAGCTGGGGGAAGGAAGGCCTACTCTTGCACGAATTTCGTGCGTCAGGCCTCTAGTATTGGGATAATATGCTGTGTGGTTCCTAA